CTCTTCTTGGCTGTCAGCTCAGCATTAATTTCCTCTTCATCCTCAGCCCTTTCAGTCACCTCCTTAATTTTGGCTTCCAGTTGGATTTTGGTTTTGATGAGCTGGTCACACCTTTCCTCAGCATCAGCCAAGCTATCTGCTTCCTGGTGTGGAGACAAAGATTGCATTTGTTTATATTTGCATGTTTCTCTTCTTTATCTTTTAGGCTATCCACTTAAAGAGGTTTACAATGTTGTCAGCTTTTCTTCCTGAGACATTGATATGGAAGTTCTGAATTCAAAATGTTCTTTTTTTATTTGTTTGTTTGTTTGTTTGTCTTTTCGCTCTTTTGAAAGGATCTCTCAGAATTCATATTTGTGATAATATTAAACGGGGTAGGGGGTTCAGGTACAATCCTGTCCAGGATATATATATATATATAGGTGGCATCTTCATCAGAAAATCAGGAGCCCTTACACCCACTTGAATCTCCTTGCTTCTTTTATTATCTATTAGAGACCTCACCACGCTACTGTAAGATACTACTTTCAAACCTTCATGTTTAATATAATGGACACCTGACCTTCTGCCCAAGATAGAGTGGTTAGAATGAGTAGGTGCTTTTTCCCACAGAGTGGGAAATAAATGGTGATACTCACAGCCTGCACTTGGAGCTGCAGGTCATTTTTTTCCTTCAGTAAAGAAACCATTTTCTCCTCAAGCTCCTTCCGCTTTGCTTCCAACTTTGCAAGCTCCTCCTTGGTTTTCTCAAACTCTTCCTTCATGTTGGCCATTTCCTTCTCAGACTCTGCACTTTTCAGCAAGGGCTTGATCTTGAAGAACAGCTTCATCCATGGCCAGTGTTTGACATTCATGAATGAACGAATATTGTACTGGATGCAAAAGATGGACTCCCTGAAGCATAATGAAAAAACATACACTGAATATTCTCAGTCTGATGAGTGTCAATGTTGTTTACAGATAGAGATATTATGAAAGAAAGGCCTTAGAAAATTCGGCCTTGCTCTATTGAATTACCAGCTGGCCTGTAAGTTCCCATAAAGAACAATTAGGCGAATTAGAAGCAGTTAGCACAAGAAACTATTCTGGTAAGAGAACTGTTTGCACTTGTAATAAACAAGAAATCTGTCCAATGGAAATCAGTGAACAAAATATGTAAACTAACCAGAAATAGAGAGATTTGACAGACATACACCCTAGCCATTTACCAACCAAAAAACTGTGTGTCAGTGTATTGTTAGCCAATTAAGTCTAACACAGTGTCTTCTATTATTTCCTATAAATATGAGCTTTGTCAACAAGGAATTGGCTTTTCCGTCATAAAGAAACTAAGTTCCGTCTACTTAATACTGCACCATGTCAACACTTTCCAATGAGCAAAATTACTTTAACTGAAGGAAAGGAAGGTGTACCTCCGCTCCACCATTCTCCTGTACTCCACCCTCATCAGGAAGCCCCTGCACAAGGCCTGGGTGCGGGTGATGAGCTGTGCCAGCTTCTCATCCCTCATCTCCTCCAGGAGCCCTATCAGCCCAGCTTTGAAGAACACCTTGAGAGAGGCAATGTTGTAGCACATCACTGTCAGGTAGAGCAAAGCCCAGGGACACAGTGAATGGGGGGGTTTGTACCTTGGTGTGTCCAAATCTGTACTGGGTATGGTCCACATCGATTGACCCAAGGAGCTTCTCAGAAGCCTTCTTGCTATCGATGAACTGTCCCTCGGGGATGGCACTGGCATTAAGCACCTTGTATCTGTGGAATTACAGGAAATAGGAGGAAGACAATGTCCAGTCATAAGATTTCTTTGTTTACTGAAACCAAGAGCAGTGTTTGCAGCAGAATCAGGCTGAGGAAGTTGGGAATTTCATCCCTCCATACTCAGAGGCCCTGGCAAAGCACAGTTGTGTGATGGAGAGCAGTTGGTGAGGACAACTGACTTATCTCCTTATTTCATAGCTCTCACCTCTGTTTGAAGTCAGCATAGAGGACTCTGCTGGGGAAGCCTTTCCTGCAAATCCTGATCCCTTCCAGCACGCCGTTACAGCGCAGCTGGTGCAGCACCAGCTCGTGCTCCATGGCACCTGGCAATGCAGAGCACAAAGGAATGGCACAGATTGCACAGCACAGGGGAATGGGTGTATTAGAGCAAGGATGTTTCTGCTTCAGCAGCTTACCAGGTGTTTTAGTTTCATTGGGGATGATACAGCGCACAAAATGGGGGTGGGTGCTGCGCAGATTGGTCATCAGCTTGTTCAGGTTCTCCTGTGGGATCATGATTTAGTGTGCATTTATAAGAAATGTGGAGAAAATAACCCTTTGGATTCTTTGAATTTAACATGAAAGACCCATCAATGGAGTAACACTGGGCTGAAAATTGTCAGCTGATAATGCCTCAATAAATTGCTCAATTTCTTCTGATTCCCAGCATTAAACATCATCTTGTAGGATAAGAAAAAACTTATCATCATCTCAATGAAGCATGGAAAGTAGGCACATTTTATGACAAAAATTATGTTTCTATTAAGTGTAAGTTTAGGTTTTTACAGTGCCATTTTTCATTTCATAACATTTTTGTTTCCAATGATGGTCTAAAGAGAAGTTATACTTAGCATATTTATTGGTTGGTTGGTTGGTTGGTTGGTTGGTTGGTTGGTTGTTGGGGTATTTTGCTTTTTTTCCAGTGTCTGAGCCAGCTAAAAATGCAGAATAAATCTCTGCATATGTTAAAAGATAAGGTGTTCACATACCCGGAAAAGAGCTGAGACAGTCTGGAAAGAAGAACCCTTCTTCTTGCCTCCCTTCTTGCCGCCACCACCACCACCACCGCCACTAGCCTCTGACAAAGTAAAGACAATGAAACATCTGTTGCTTTGGAGACCAAACATCATGCATCAGAGATGACATTTCAAAGAACTGACCTGCCTCTCCTCCAGCAGAGGCAAAGAGTAATGCCAGGGTCTTCACAGATGATTTCTGGTACAGCCCAATGACAGTTTCATTCAGAGGGTCCTTGTTCTTCTCCAGCCAGCCAGTGATGTTGTAGTCCACTGTGCCAGCGTAGTGCACCAGGGAAAAGTGGGCCTCAGCCTTGCCCTTGCCAGGCTTGGGCTTCTGGAAGTTGTTGGACTTGCCCAGGTGCTGGTCATAGAGCTTGTTCTTGAAAGAGGTGTCAGTTGCCTTGGGGAACATGCACTCCTCTTCCAGGATGGAGAAGATGCCCATGGGCTGGGAGAAATAGCAAAAAATAGCAGTGATAAAATACAGATCTGCCGTCAGAAGGGGACTGCAGTAGGACACAGGAAACTGAGAAATTGGTTGAATTTTTGGATGAAAAATGGTTTAAATCTTTGTTAACTTTTACATTCGCACTTCCAGACAAAATACAAATAGGCATCTGAAATTAATACCTTTAATGACTGATACTGTGACATTAATCACACAAAATTTTCTAAATACTTATAAATTTGATGAGTTGAAAGCTGATCTGCTTTTCACATTATTACTTTCACAAAATAATTTGTACAGTTGAAGATGTCATACTAAAATTGATTTTAGAGCAAGAGATCAACGGATCTTTCAGCTACTTGCTGAAATCTTTTTTTTAAAGATAGATCTCTTTCCATTCCTATACAAGTGGATGCTACACAAAACAGTGTCTTCTCATAGTGTTTTTGCTGATTGCAGTTCATCCTTTACTTTTTTTTCTATATGCACCTATTTTTTTGTTAGAAATTATGTTTCAGAAATCCCAGCGTTAATATCGAAATAATAATATTGAAACTGTGTCTGGATTCCTGAAGAGATCTTTCATCTTTATAAACCAGAAAACTTATCTCCAGAGAATCTTTTTCATGCAATTATGTGTCATTACATTGATGTAACTATTGCAATTCAAGAAAAATTACATTTACTTTCAAAAAAATGAATAGCAGTGTAGTTAATGGATAACTAAAAACATTTCATTTGTAGCCTAATCACAAAGGTTCTTAGAACTTAAATTTCATAATATATACAATCCTGAAATGACAGTTTTTGAGCAGACAGGAACATAAACGGATAATAATAGGTAGGTTTGTGAAACACTAGTGCAAGAAAAAGTAAGCCTGAAGAAAAATCCTGAAATTCTGTCATGAAACTGATAATAAAATCTTAAATGTAATCAACACACCTTCTCAATGAGCTCAATGCAGGCAGCCAGGTCCAT